GATCTTCACAGAGCTGCTTATTTGCCACCAGCACTGAGCCTGAGACTGAGGCTGTGCTTAAAACCTCCTGATGTGTCTGCTGCTCTTAATTGAAGTGTCTGGTTCAAGAGGATTAAAGAGCAGAAGAGCGAAAATTGGGGGGGCAGGTCGTGCCTCACCACAGTGCTTTGCTTTGGGGAGAAAGTGCAACGCCCAGGTGGTGCACTGAGCTATGCCTGGCTGCTGATGGGCTCAGGGCAAGCTGGTCTGACTTTTGTTCCCAGGAGGGTGGGCACATCTGAGTATGGAAGAAAGGCTGAGGCAGACCCTACCTTACATGCCTGTGGACCACAGCCATTCAGGCTGGTCCCTGAGCCCCTGTTGTGCTGCTCTAGAAAGCATGGAGTCCACCACCCTTCAGTACAGCAGAGAGGAACCCTGACTCGGGCAGGATGGCACAGCGGGACGAGAGCTGCTGTCACCACGGCATCCCACACACCTGTCAAGGCCCAAGCTGATGAGAGAACTGCAAGCCCACAAAGCCCACGGCTGGAGCCTCAGCACAGAACCAGGGCAGGAGAGCCAACAAGGAACCCTGAGCAGGCAACCTGCAGGAAGAGCAGAGGATGGTCAGCCTACCATGACGGGCAGGCTTCCATGAAAGTCCCTCAGTCAAGCAGGTTGGGGCTCCCAGGTGGCAGCAGCATGCCGAGACTTAAAAAATTAGCTTAGCTGGGCACAGTGGCACAGGCCTCCCCATGCAGAAGACTGAGGAAGGAGGATGGCAAGTTTGATAGCAACTCAGCAAAACCCTGTTTCAAAATAAGTTTTTTTAAATGGCTGGGGATATAGCTCAGTGGTAAGCACCCCTGGGTTCAATCCCCAGTACTACAAAAACAAAAGAAGGAAGCTGAGGTCTGTCTGCAGGGTTACTGTTTGAGAGGACTCGCAGGGGGCTTAGGAATATAATCGTGCTCCATCTGCAACAGGATCTGGGGAACACAGGGATCATGATCACACAGACATCAACCCTACTTCATGTTCAGAACAGAAAGGGACTGAGGATAGCAGCCCCCAGTCCTTATTCATGAGAAATGAGGGAAAGGCAGATCAGATTTTCTTGATCACCATGCATGGGGCCCCTTCCCAGGAACCACAAGCCCATGCATCCCCAGAAACGAGGGCTCATGGCTCAATGACTGTCCCTGCATCAGGCTGAGCCAGCTCTGGCCTGCAAGCGGGTCTGCCCAGTAAATGTCCCAGTGAGTCGTTCTAAAGCTTCCCACTGTATCTCAATGTAGTGCCAAGGGCCCACCTGTTTGCCTTCACTGAAAACCTGTGCTTACCTGTGTGGTAAGAAGTAGCCCCTGCCACCCCCACCCCTCCCTCACCCCCACTACAAACAGCAAGCAGGAAAGTGAGCCAGTTTCCCAGCTTCAGTATAGAGGGAATGATGGAGCACAAGAACAGAAGGGCAATGCTGAGAGAGCCACCACTACCACCAGGACCTACCCACGCCAGATTGCCACAGACACAATGTTATCACAGGCCAACTAATGCTACGTGTGGGGTCCAGGCACCCCTCACTTCAACAAAGGCCCAGGCCACCTCCTAGCTCCCAGGATTAGCTCTTGACACCCTTAAGGAACACCAAAGGCCACAATGGATGGTAGGCCCCCCTGTAACTTTCCTGTCACCCAGGTAACGGCCATCAGGCAGAACCCATTAAGTGCTAATGTTCTGGTGGCTGTTGTACAAGTGCTCAGAAGCAACACTGTCACCTGTCCAGAAGGCAGTGAGGAGTGGCTGCAGTGCACGGACATTATTTTGGATTGCTGAGTTCACGAATTTCTGGTCCCTTCTGACCTGGGCTTTCAAATGCCCAGCTCGCTCACAGAGCCCGTCTCAGCACTTTCTCCAGAGCCTGGCTTCCTGGGAGCAAGGGGACACTGTCCCTGGCTGCCAAGGGCAAGGAGCCTGATGATGCAGCTTTCACAAGTTGCCAGCCCAGATCAAGCAGCGCATTTCTCCCAGACAGGCCTCCACAGACCAGAAGGAAGGAGGCAGTTCCACCAAGCCAGAAGGACGCTGGCCCTGGAGTAATAGGATGACAACAGGGCAGACTCCAGCAAACCTCCTTCTGGGGGGATGGAGGCCAGTTAAAGGCTCAGCATTACCATTATCAAGGTCTCAATCTCAGCAGCCCCAGACTTCCTGGGCAAATCCCATCTCTTCAGTTTTGCTTTTGTTTTCTGAAGACAAGGTTAGACTAGAGAAGTACCTACAATACCTAACAGTGACCTCAGTGAGACTTCCTTACCGTCTACAAATTAGATACTTCTCATTTAGAAGCCTGGGGTCTCAGCACCTTCCTTATTGTCAGCTTTATTTTAACTATTACAGATGAATATTCAAAACACAGCCCCCTTCCTGCACACACCTGCCCTCTGTCAAATTTTGGCGATAGGAAGCCATCTTCATGGCTTTGTACCCCCTTCCCTGCCTGTAGCACAGAGTATCCTGACCCTGGTTCAGGTGGGCAGGAGTACACCAGTACACCGGCTGGTAGCCACACAGGCGCTTCAACATCTCCCATCACGACCCAGAAGACTCCAATGCCAATGGCTGACTGTGGGAGGCTTTCTGCACTTGGGATTCTTCTTAAGCAGCAGGTTTTTTTATTGTGCCAGAAGATAACTCCCGGGCCTGTAAGCATACTGCCTAGGGGCTGGAAACCTGGGTTTTGTTCTTGGGCTGTGATTACTGGCAAGTCCTGGAGCCTGAGCAGGCCTGGCCTTCTCCTTGGCAACTCTGAGACGGACCGTGTGCACCCAACGAGAGCCTTTCCAGTCCCAAGATTCAGCTTCGTTCACTTAAAGCAAAATAAAATGCATAGAGAAAAAAGAGAGAGGACTACAAAAGAAATTTGAGCTTTTCTTTAGTTGGAAATTTGTCATTTGGTAGTTGGCAGCAGCTCGACTGGAGGCTTTTTATCTGGGTTTGGTTATGAAATTCACTTGCAAAACCCAGGGTTTTCCAGCCTAAGAGCGAGTATGGAGCTGTCGTATTTCCTGGGCTAAAGGAGCCATCTTCTTAGAGAGTTGTTACTTAAGGAAGCAAAACTGGGTCACTAAAAAGCATGTCAATGCAGACTGACAAGTGAAAATGCCTACTTCATTCTTGAGAAGTTTGTTTGAATTGGTTTTGTAACGGTCACAATTTTTAACCTGGGTCTCTAAACACAAAACCACGACCAGGGAGAAGGTACTTGGAGTGGCTACACCCACCCCCACCGCGGTTCCAGACCAGCTCCCGGGGAAGCGGCTCCACGGGCCGGGCCGGGGGCGCCGGGGAAGCGCCGCCGTTGGGGACGCGCCAGCTCACGCGCCCGCCGCCGGCACACCCCGGCCCTCGGACACCGGCCCGCGCCCCCGGCCCGCCGCCGACAGCGCCGCGCGGGCTCGCCGGGCTGCCCACGCCGCCGGCCGGACCTAACGGGACGCTCCTCCCGGGACGCGCCCGCCGCGCAGGCCTTGGGCCTCGGACGCCCCCCACTCGCCGCCCGCC